TCAATAAGAGAAACAGAGAAATCCTAGAAGAAAATAGCAACTTCGCCTTACTTGATGGAGATATAATAATTATAGGAAATTTGGAGTGTATAAAAAGTTTTATTTATTTTTTGAAAAACAAATAATAGTTTTTAGCTAGGCATGGGAGTTTTAGAGCGCTTGATATTTTTTTTTTAAATTTGTAACTCCGCAATCTATCGCATTTTTATAGCGAAATATGAAGTTGGTCTTAAGTGACGTGGTATGCCACGTCAGCATAATTACCACACTCTCACTGCCATGTGTATGATCACGAAAAATATTCAATGTTACATGTCACGACAGCTTGTTTAATGGCTGTTGACAGGAGAAAGCAAAAGTGTGGATGAAAAATACTATGATGACCATTCTTTAAAAATTTGAAAAATAAAATAAAAGTGAAGTTTAAAATATTTAGGGGACCAGAAACATATTTAACCTTTAAATAACTAATTATAGTAAGTAGTCGTGCATAAAATCAATGGAGAATGGGAGACTTGTAGTTGGTTCTAATCCAATCCTTAGCCAATAGAAAATCAGAAGGTTAATTTTGGATATGCATATCTTGATATCTCATCATCATCATCTACGTCTTTTCCTTTTTTATTTCTACTAGTTTTTTTTAAGGGTTTGAAACTAGTTTTTTCTTCTTGAAAATTTCCTTTAAGTTTAACACTGACTTGAAAAGCACTGGAGAGGTAGTCAATTTTTATTTCATTAACACTGACTCGAAAATTTCCTTTAAGTTTAACACTGAGTTGAAAAGCACTGGAGAGGTAGTCAATTTTTCTTTCATATGGTTCTCCTAGTTGTAGCAAAATAATCACTAGAGAGGTTGTCAATTTTTCTTTCATTATATGGAAGCTCTTTTCACATTCTCCAATGCATGCAAATATTTGATTCTTCTTGGTAAGTTAGTCAACAGAGGTACGATCTTTGAGAATCCTTCGATAAATATTCTATAGTATCCAAATAATCCCATGAAGCTCCTTATCTTAGTGGTGGTCTTAGGTTTTTCCCATGCTAATAAAAATACTAATTTGGATGGCTCAATAGAATTACCATTCTTACAAATCACGTGCCCTAGGAACTTCACTTCATCTAGCAAAATTAAGTGTTTCTCCTTCAATACTTGGAATACCTGGCATAAATGTTACTCGCCCTCTACCTTATCCTTTGAATATGTTAGAATGACATCAATAAATACTACCACAAATTTGTCTAAGACGGATGAAGTATATGATTCATATAACCCATGAAGATGGCAGATGCATTGGTCGCTCCACAAGCATCACTAGATACTTGTAATGCACATAATAAGTCCTAAATGCGGTATTGGGAATATCTTCTTTATTCACTTGTATTTGGTGGTATCCTAACTTCAAATCATTATTTAAAAACACTATTACACCTCCGAGTTTGTCTATGAGTTTATTAATGCATGAGAATGGATATCTATTCTTTATCATAACTTTATTAAGTTGACGATAATCAATGCAAAGTCTAGATTTTTCCATCCTTCTTCTAGGCTCCCCAATGTGAGACATTTTGTCGTATAAATCCTTTGGAATGGAGGTCCTCTAAATTCTTATTTAGCTCATCTAACTCTAGAGGAGACATTTTGTAGGTCGAAATAGAGATAGGTTTTGTTCTGGGAGTGATATCAATAGAGAACTCAACATCGCAGACTGGTGGTAAGCCTGATACATCTGTTATAAACACCTCTGAGAAATCCTTCACCACTGGAAAAATAGTGACTCGAATTTCAAACTCATGTTGATGGAATTTAATAGTACATATTTTTGAACACCTCCATGCAAGGAAAACTTTAATTGATTGGTTTCAAGGAACTGGGTAATGCTTGAGTCTAGGAATACTAAAAGAACATAATGACTAGAAGGCTAATTCATCCAAAGAACCACTCTAATATGCTTAAGGGGGTGCAAATTAAATCAACCTTTAACTTCATGATCAAGAAAATCAACGAACATTGTAAGCAAATCTCACTAAGAGTCGCACGTTTGGCGGACGGTATCATGACCACCAAAAAGTTAAATATGTCACAGGAAGTTGTAGGGAATTCACACGCTTCCAAGAGATAAAAGAATGAGTAGCTCCAAAATCATATATTATTGGAATAGAATTTTCATAAATTTCACACTCACCCTTGATCAGCATTGAATGGTCCTTCTCTTATTCTTCGCCAACAAGGTACACGCGTCCTTGAGTCGTTCGGCGTTCAACCTAGTTGTCGCGGCCGGCAAAAATGATAGAGTCATCATCATCCTTTATTCATTCCTAAAGAATAGGAAAATAAGGATAAAACCTAAACATTAAGGGTGAGAGGCTAAGGTTCGGGAGTCGATTAAGTGAGAAGAAGGTTGTAGGCACCCCCTCAGCTATATTGTATCCAATATGATCCTCCTTAAGTCCTAGGGTATGTTTTCTTACTATTTGAATGCTTAATTGTTTATATTTATTTACAAAGTCTTCAATATTTACAACAACAAAAAAAGGAAATTGTTTATTTATGAGAAGAGAACCCTAAGTTTTTATTATTATTGTACTTGTATGGATTTACAACCCAATGTCTACACACCCTCAAGTTTTAAGGATTAGAGTTTCGTAGTTCACATCCCTTATTTTGTTGATTTGTTGTTTTTATCCCTTGAAAATAGTCTTCACACAACGGGGGTGAAGAAAGATTTAGTTTTCAAAAATGTCTCACTACACAAGGTTAGAGGACTTAAATTTTAGGTGAGTTGAATGTGTTTTATCCCTTATCCCTTATTTAATTTGCAAAAATATCTCAATTAATTTATTGTGAAAATAATATGATATTATAATTATATTATATAAACCCCTAACTTTATCCTTTATCCCAGTTTTATTTACCCCAATTTTATTTATCCCAAAAAACTTTAGATTTTATCCCTTTTTATTATCCTAAAATATCCTCAAGTTTTTATTCCATTTTATTTGTAAAATTACCCCTTTTAATTTATTTAGAGAACAAATTGATTATATAATTATTTTTAAATTAATTATATAAAGAAATGATTTATTATCCCTTATCTCTAATCCTCTATTTATACTTTTGAATCTTAAGAGTTTTATTCAAAAATAGTTTATCCGATCTATCCCTGTATCCCATTACTTTATCCCAAAATTTATCCCTTAAGAAGAATAAAAATAAATTAAGTTTCAACTAGCCCTTTTTATTCAAAGTAAATTATTCCCTAATCCTAATTATGCAAATTAATTAAAAAAATTTAATTAATTAACCAAGTTAAACTCCAATTATTTGATCATCGAAGTAAATAAATAAATTTAAAAAAAACAAACCCTAAATATTTAATTATTATAATAAATATTAATTTATTAACTACCCATATTTAAAAAATAAACTCAAAATTTAAAACCCAAATTTAGAGAATAACAAACCCACATTTTATAATTACAAAAATAACTTAAATAAGTTAAATAAACCAAATTTACCAATTATTATAATAAACCCCAAATTTTAAATTAAACCTAAATTTATTATAAATAAACCTAAATGAATAAATCCCCATTTATAAAATAAACCCACATTTATTTTTATGAAGACAAGATTATAAACCCACATTATTTGATTATAAAAATAAGATAAGTTAGATAAAGTCCAAATTTATTAGTTATAAAATTATAATAAACCCCAAAATTATGAGTAAACCCAAATATATTAAATTTAAAAATAGATATTATAATAGACCCCAAAGTTGTAAATAAATCCAAATTTATTAATTACCAAAATAAATAAATTAAAATAAATTCCAAATTATAAGTTAATCCCAAATTTATTAATTATAAAAGTAAATAAATTATAATGAACCAAAAAATACAAATTAATTCCAAATTTATATAATTTTAAAAATAAATAAATTATAATGAATCCAAAAATATAAATTAAACCCAAATTTACATAAGTAAACCCCAATTTATTATAATAACCCCAAAATATAAATTAACCCAAAATTATATAAAAAATCTCCAATTTATTATAATAACCCCAAAATATAAATTAAACCCAAAATCATATAAATAAATCCCAATTTATTATAGTAACCCAAAAATATAAATTAAATCCAAAATCATATAAATAAACCCCGATTTATTATAATAACCCCCAAAATATAAATTAAATCCAAAATTATATTAATAAACCACAATTTATTATAACAACCCCAAAATATAAATTAAACCCAAAATTATATAAATAAATAAATAAAATAAACCCCAAATTATAACTTAATATTATTAAGTTAACCCTAACATTTTAGTTAATATGACGTGTTGGTGAGAGTATTGTTATTAAGATAAATTTTCTAGATTTTCCTTGTTTTCGTGTATATCTTTAGGGATTTTTACAGAGGTTTGTAAAAAATGATATGATTTATGATCACACAATTAACTATTAGAACATAATCCCTACCCGAGCAAATAACCCAACCAATACAACTATCAAGGACAATTTTTTGTATGGGCAAAGAGAAACCGACCTACAGGATCAAGGTTTATCCTAGTGTGAGCGGTTAGATTATCCCTTTTTATTTGCTACTCTTTCTTGCCCTTTATGTATCTTTTGATCCCAACTCTTCGTAATTCTCCTTCTTTTGCTCGCGCCTTTTTGAGAAGATCGATGGTTGAGGTTTTAGGATTTTGTTGTTGGTGTTCTTCAGTGTGAAGAACAACAACTTTTTAGGATGTGATCCATAAGTTGTGGATGAGAAAATAGAAGAGACAAGGGTTCTATTTATAGGGTAAAATCAGGTCAGAGAATTGAATGTGATTGAATCATTTAAGAAAGATTTAATCTGACTAGATTTTATTTATTTCTTGAAGCCCAAGTCAATGAATCTGGATGAATTCATAGCTTAGTGAATTTGAATAAGTAAAATAAAAAAATCAATTTATATAATAATAATAATAGCCAAATAATTATGATTGATAACATAAATTGCTGCTTTTGTACAGGTGAGGAATCGCTCAATCACTTGTTTTTTGAATGTCTAACAATGAGGAATATCTGGATGGAAGTCCTTGATTGGATCCAACTACAACATATTCCTGGAGATTGGAATCAAGAACTTATATGGTTAACTCAACAATGTAAGGGGAAAGGTCGTAATGTTGCCATGATCAAGCTTTCCATTACAGAAACCGCCTATGAGTTATGGAAGCTTAGGAATGAGAAAAGTTTTAGTAAAGTTGATACCAATAATCGTATATGCAATAGAATTATAGAATCAATAATGTATAAGGGGTGGAATAATTTGAAGCTAAGAAAATACATAGCTAGTCTCATGGTGACCTAGATAGTTGTTACACCCTAATTTTGACCCTGAATTGCCAGCCATACATGTCGTAGCACTTTCATCATTTTTTGCATCTAACCATTTTTGCCTCTAAGGTGCACATATTTCTGCTCTTCGTTAAGCTCAGGTTATCAAGACAAGCATGGGTGTGGTGTGGTGTGAAATCCTGCATAGTATAGTATGCATTTTACCATGAACAGTTCACAAAATGATTAGCCAGAACAAATTTCTTAGATGTGCAGAAGGACTGGTTAAATTGTGTCTTGAATATACGGAAAAATTAACGATTGAAAATTCTCGAATTTAAGCTTGCAGGCGCTAGTGTTTTTAACCTACTTTCCTTTAAAACTCGACCTCGCGTACTCATCTTATCTCTCGACGAACTTTTAATCACTTTTGACCAGTGTGAGCCTTTTTACCAGTCCCGGTCGATTCTCAAAATTGACTGAGTGTTGTATCTTTTCAAGTTATCCATTTCACGTTAATCTTTTGTGTGCATTCGATTTTAATATTTTAAGCATCTCACATGCCCATTTCTGTTTATTTTCCCCCGAGTTTATTTCAATATTTTCATAAAAAATGTCAGAATAATTAATGTAAACTTTTCGGGTTTGCATTTCTTTTTTTAACATATTTATTTAATAAATGGTGAGTTTTCAATTTTTTTTTAATTTAGCCCAATAAGAACATGACACGTGGCATTTTTTTATTTATCATTATTTTGTTTTATAATTTCATTTTAGTTTTTTAGATTAATTAGAATTTACTTTAGAATTTAGAATTAGATTAATTAAAATTTACATTAAAAACTAAAATTTTAAATAGGGTTAGAATTAAAATTTAGAATTTAAAATTTAAAATTAAAACTTAGATTTAAAATGTAGGTTAGAATTAGGAAGTAATTAATTTAAATTAGAAGTTGGATTAGAAGTAAAGTTAGGTTAGTGAATTAGTATTAAAAAAAATAGAAAAGAAAATAGAATTAATTAATTATTAATTTTAAAAAAAATTATTAAATAAAAAAAATGAGAAAGGAAAACAAGATAAGGACGGAGGGAGAGGATAATGGGGGTACAGTGTCATCTTCCCAAATCAAGAAACCCTAGCCTCAATAAAACCCTAAGTACTCACTCTTCACTCTCAGCTCTTAACACAAAAACCCTAGCCTCCAATTCCAACTCTGAAAATCCTAAGCCCTTTCTTTCATCCGCCACCGAAAATCCCAAATGCATCCTCTTCCTCTCTCAACCAAACCCTAACTTCATCCCCAACCTTCGTTTCCTCTCCTTCGACCAGCCACCATCATCATCGATCGACCCCACCTCTGCAATCCCCATCGCCAGAAAACCCCTTTTCTTCTTCTCTCACCATCCTTAAAACCGCCGCCGTGTAAACCTTTCATCATTATCCCTCATTTTTCGTCGCCATAACCCCGTCTCATCCCCTTCACCACCATGGATTTCCATCTGTAAACCCCATCACCTCAATCCCTCATCTATTCAAACTCACCATTTCCTCCAAAATTTCCGGCCGCCGCCATGTCTCCCTTTGATTTTGTTTTCCACCACCATCAATTTTAAAACCTCTCATCTGCCATCACCCCTTTAAAACCATGTTTCCGCCATAGACCACATTCACCTTCACCTTCACCATGCCAAATCACTTAGTCGAGTTCTTGTTTGGAGTGAATCCATGTTTGCTCATCTGTGAGAGTAGAATGTTGTGATGTTTCACTGAAAGAAACGCCATGATGTTATTGTGGTGTTTGGATCGCCTCAAACACTTGATGCCACGCTTAGCTTTTAACAGATTCGAGCCTGCTCTATCCATCAAGAAACCCAACAATATCAGCTTATTGTATCGTTGTCCATCATGAACAGAGGTGCTGGATTCTGCTGTAGATATATCAAGAAAGCAAATGTGTTGAGATGGTTTTCAGGTTTTGCGTATGAAGTGCCGCGAGGATACTGGTTCAAAACACACAAAGACGATGGTGCTGCCGTTGAGACTCTCCATGAGATTCAACTTAACAGGATGCCGTAAGAAATGTGCAAGCATCGGTATCGCCATCTTCCACAACAACCAACATTCAATGCCTGCAGCTATGACATTTCAATAGCCGCTGAGATCGCGTCTTTCAACTCAACTCAGTTTTGTCGACTTTGAACCCGTAGAGTTTGGTTTTCTAATTTAATTAGACATGTTATCTTTTGATTCATATGCAGGTTGGAAGTTTATGGATTCAAGATTTGCAATCAACTGTTTTTCGGAAGGCACGATTATAACAGGAGCTAAAACCCATAACATCAGCTTTTGATTCACATTCCACAAGTTTCGCATCGCGCCGTCACGCATCAGCAACTCAACTAAGTCAATCAACTTTAGCTCGCAGTAACGGTAATGGATAGTAACAACGCGAGTCTGCAGTTCTGCACATTTGAGATTCCGCAACAACTCTTGTGTATCAGGATTTGATGGATTCAATCTCAACGACACAACAAACTTGCATCAGACAATCCCGCATAGTTCCGACATTGCAAAAATGTTGACAAGGCCGCGATACAGTTGTAATCAGTAGGATCTCACCCTTATCTTCAATTCAACTCTATTTTCATGAATTTTCCAATTGCTTGTTATCCTGTTTGGGTGGTTCTGTTTCTGTACAGGTTATGCATTCAAGATAAGATTTGGATTGAAACGCGTTCTTGGGGATTGATTTGGTTCTGTTAGGAAATGAAGACAAGCTGCCCGACACTTTGTTCGGGATAACATCCGCAGTGCCAAGAGGGTCGTGTTTTGTTGGTGGCAATTGTTGCAACAATTAAATCTAACAAGATTATGGATCAAAGATGGTGGGAGCTATTGATGCTAAAGATGTCATCATATTCCTCCAACGTACAACATCTTGACAGCCGATTCAACGTGGCGGCATATTTCAGCAAACAGCTTCGGCGTCGGTAACGGGTTCAACCTTTGTTGACATTACATGTTTGTTGTAGTTATCGATAATGCCATGTTTATGTTGTTGCTAATACTGAGTTTATTTTTATTCAATTTTGATTGGAATTTTATATACCTCTTTTACAATATGTTTGAATTTAGATTTAGTTTCTTATAACTCTGCTCCTTGCAATTTTTGTAGAATAAATATCCTTACCGCTGGCTTCGGTTTGATTATCGGCTGCAATTTATTTCGATTACGTACCTTTTTTTTAGATTTGTTCGTTTATGAGGTTTGATGGTGTTGAATTCATTTGTGAAGTCGTACGAAGAATTTGTGAAGTCGGTTGTTTATGCTGATGTAGGGAACAACATATTAGGGGATGCTGTCTTGAGATTTTTATTTTTATTTTATTTTTATTTATTTTTCTAACAACACAACTACATCACTTCTTGACAGAAGCGTTGTTAAAACTCCTAGCCTGCTGCACACTTATTACAACTGCCTTTAAATAAGCGCTATTAAAGGTTAGTTTTTTCTTATATGCATGTTATTTTCTTTATATAATATTTATTTAGTTTTTTATTTCTTTTTCTTTTTTAAAAATAATTTAAATATGAAAATGAATTATTATTAATTAATCTAATTAGTTTTTATTAAATAATAATGATTGATTAATAATTTTTGTATGATTTAACGATGTTTGTTCGTTTATTTCAGTGGTACATTTCTTCTCGGCTTGCTCGTTTATATGTATTGATTTACACACTCGAAACCTTTTTCATATACGTGGATTCATACCTTGATTCACATCGAGTATTGTTTTTCAAATCATTCAAAACTTTTTTCAAACTTATTTTCACAATTTACTTGAATGAGAAAGAAAGTCTAGAGCCTTTTATTCTCTCTCTCTCTTGATTCAATCTTTTTTTTGATTGTTTGGGCCCGAGAAGCCTTTCTTACGTTCAAACAGTCGATTTCTCTAAAATCCTTTCGTACGCAAAATTCAAACCTTGACTCACATCAAGAATTTTTTTTCAAATTAAATTAAAACACTTAATAACTATTCAAACACAATTTCGATAAAGATGAAAAGGGAGTTGGAATCGAGCCTTTGATTTCTCTTCTCGATTGTTTGGGCCCGAGGAGCCTTTCTTAAGTCCAAACAATTGTCTTCTTTATAAGATGTACAATGCAAAACAAACTCGGAACTTATTTTCCTAAACACTCAGATGAAAAAGAGAGAGAGTCAAGCCTTTGACTCGCTTTCCCGATTACTTAGGCCCGAAAAGCCTTTCTTAAGCCTCAAGTAATTGTCATCCGATTAATTTACGCTAATTATATCAAAAATATTTCTTAATATAAGATGAAAAAGAGAGAGAGTCAAGCCTTTGACTTGCTTTCTGGATTACTTGGGCTCGAGGAGCCTTTCTTAAGCTTCAAGTAATCCTCATCCATTTAAAATACTTCAACCATCTTCCATCGTTCAATGCTCTTCCTACGCAATCTCGCGTTTAAGGGTGAAAAAGAGAGAGAGAGTCGAGCCTTTGACTCGCTTTCCCGATTACTTGGGCCCGAGAAGTCTTTCTTAAGCTTCGAGTAATCGTCATCCGACCAACCTACTCGAACCATATTCATTCCTTCACCGTTAAGGATGAAAAAGAGAGAGAGTCAAGCCTTTGACTCACTTTCCAGATTACTTGGGCCCGAGAAGCCTTTCTTAAGCTTCGAGTAATCGTCATCCGATCAATCATACTCGAACCATTAAAAAGAAAAATAACTAAAAGTTAAATTAAAATAACTTGGTAAGTTAAATAAACCAAATTTACCAATTGTTATAATAAACCCCAAATTTATTATAAATAAACCTAAATGAATAAATCACCACTTATAAAATCAACCCACATTTATTTTTATGAACCAAAGTTTATAAAACTACATTATTTAATTATAAAAATAAGATAAGTTAGATAAAGCCCAAATTTATTAGTTATAAAATTATAATAAACCCCAAAATTTTGAATAAACCCAAATTTATTAAAGATAAAAATAGATAAAC